GGGGGGGTGCAAACATAACATCGATGGCTCTCATACGAGTACGAGCATACTGGCGCACTACATAATATTATTCTGGTTGACCTGCTCCCCCTGTCCTCTATAACTATAACAAGAGGCAAAAATACACTATCGTCACAAACGAAGTAAAAGTGCTGAGCGTTATTAATAAATTAATCTAAAGAAGCGAAACCCAACGCTGGTATTTCATTTCATGTACGATTTAGACATCGTAGACAGAGTAACTTGGTGCTGCAAAGTGAAAATAAATCTATTCGTGTTATTGAACGCGCGTTCGAGATTACACACTAACTAGAATCCGATAAGTAATTTACGTTAACCTGTTAAACAATGATCCTCTAATAAAGGTTTTTGCTAATTGAATGCACTTAATATTCTAAACAAGTTATGTGTTGTATCTGCCTACGTAAAGCCGTCGCCCGTTGAAAAAAAAAGAGTCTTTTTAACGTTCCCATACAGAACCTAGAGCACTATGAAATTACGCATTAATAGATCCCAGGCCCGGAGAATTATAACATTATTATGCTTTTAATTTGGCAGAGCACTTTAACTGGTCGCTTTTAAGGACAAGCGGGCTAACCCAGGTTTCTGAGGTTTCCAGAAATCTTGACCTACACCAAAAGTGGGCTTTGCCCTACCTATAGGAGGAGAGGTTTGGTTTCATAGGTGTGTGGATATATTTGTTTGGTTATAGAGAAAACTCTCCTTGTCCGTTAATGTTAAAGAAACTGAACAACTTTGAACAAGGGGCAAAAACTTTACCTTCAATTTTCCCAAACCAGCATTTTTCGGGATAGCCCCCTTGAGCTAAAAAGCGACCAATTGTTCTAGTTGAAATGACGCTTTTATAGTGTCAAGTGAAAATGAAAGTGCCTCTTTTTGTTGTTGGGAGGTCGCATACGTTCCTATAAAAATGACACTTTATTGCTTCTTTTCACCGATAGTAGTTTCTTGTAAAACTGGTATCTTTTGTGTGTGTGTGTGTGTGTGTGTGTGTGTGTGTGTGTGTGTGTTTTTTGTTTTTAATTTTAAAAAAACAACAACAATTTTGTCTCCTTTTCAGTAATAAATAGTACTAGATCTAGTAGTGGAGGTTTATTTTCCTCGTAGAAAGAGGTGCTTCTTTTTTTGTGAAAGAGCGCACCTTCCAACTGCTGGGATAACACCTATTCTTCCTGTTGAAATGGCGCCCCTATTGTCTGTTTATTTGTTTTTGTAAAGTGTTTTACGGCGCTCGCAACTTCATAAGGTCATATAAGCGTGCGGGACACACCTAATATTTTCAGTTGGTAGGAAATTTTGAACTTTGCCCGGGTGGCGGCCGAAGCTTATTCTTATCGATTTTAGACCACCAAGGGATCTTTAACGGGCGCAACTTGCACACGAGCCCTCCGAGATTTTTCGCCCTTGTCCTAGAAAGCTAGGTGTAGATCTTTCCTACCAGAAGATCAGGGGTGTTGCTGAAAGACAGCAGTAAGAAGAAGCCAAAGAGTAGCAGTAGAAAGGCTGCAGAAAGAATGAGGAGCCCAGAGGAAGTGGCAAAGGATGTGAGGTGGTGGGGGCAGAAAGAGGAGACGAAAGCAGACGACAGAACATTGCTAGAGAGCAGGAAATGAGGTGAAAGGAGACAAATTTAGAGAAGACAATTTTTCGGTCGCTACCCGAATTCGAACCCGGGACCCGGGGAATGAGAGGCCAACACCTTAACCTCTAGGCCACGAGAGCCCCCCCACTATTGTCTGAAGAGTACCTTTCTCTACTATAACTTTACTGTGTAGTGTAAATTGCAAGAAGGATGTTTTGTTTACTCTTACAAGGGCGGGTCGGCGCCTAAGTCGACTCACTTTCGACCCCATTAAGAGACGCCTGGGGAATATGCTCCGAACCGCCTTACCGAGGGACACTTCTGAGGAGAAAATTGATGCACACCAAGTCGCCGAGAGACTTCATGCCCCTCTTGAGAGTATTGCTGTAAATCTCACCTCTCTGTATTGTTGATGCTGTTTGTCCTTTAGATGTCATGTGAGCTTGAAAAGGGTGACATGGAGAGTGATTTATTTTTATTGAGGAGGAAAAGGGCGGTTGTTTTTGTTGTTGTTGTTGGGGGGGGGGGGGTTGGGTTGTTGTTTTTTTGTTTTTTGGGGGGGTGGGGGGGTCGTAGCACGATTAGTTTTGGCTTATGAGACTTTTGTTTAAGTTAAATACCAAAAGAAAACCAGGCTGGTCTCTTTATCATACATTTTCTAAGATTGCGTAGTTGTTTTAGCGAATTTTTTTTGGGTCTTCTTGGGCAAAGGTACATTGTATCTGCACACAGCGCTGTTCTTTACGCACAAAAATGGATCTATAAATGTAATATATAATAATATACAGGTTTGACACCTCGTTCGACTCTTCATAGCTTCTATGAGGTGGAGCCTCCGAAATCAACAGCCATCTCCGATAAAACTGAGCCAAGTAGGTGGACTTTATTCATTTGAGAACTCCCCATCTAAACCAGCCTATCATGATGGACTCACCATAGCTCAGCAACAACACCTGAGCCTTTTTACCATGTGAGTGTTTTTACACCCCAATCGATCAGGTTAGATCACTTAGGAGGTGGGCTTTTGGTCTTGCTTGGCAGGGCCGACCAAGGCTGATAGGATCATTGCCTTTCTCGCCTTGCACCAGGGTATAGGCCACGGACAAACACTTTCCACCTGTCTCTATCCTGGGCTAGCCTCTTGATGCAACTTATTCCATGTCTTCCCACTTTTCTGTACATCGATTTCTGTGACTCTTCTCTCCAGGTTCCACGCGGTTTTCCCCTTGATCTCTTACCCTGTGGGTTCCAATCCAAAACTTTCTTTGTTATGTAGCTGCCTGACTTCCTGAACTGAGAGGGAGAGTATGTCCAATCCATCGCCACCGCCTTCTTCCTACCTCGTCTCTGAGTGGGATCATTCTTGTTTTCCTCAACACTTCCTCGTTGAAGACCCTGTCTGTCCATCTGATTCAGTAAATTTCTTAGACACTTGCTCAAGAAAACCTGGATCCTCTGTATGCAAGTCTGTGATGCGTTTCATGTCTCACATCCACATAACAGGACTGACTTCACATTTGAATTGAAAATCCTGATAAGAATACAGCATCCTACCAAAAAGATAGAGAAGCTACACGAAAAATCTCCCCACTAGGGACTCGAACTTGGGTTTCCTTTTTTTTGTCCTTGAACTGGATGCGACAGCGAAGCGCCTGGTCGCTACGTAGACCCCGGTATACCCGAGGTAAAGGCGCAAGTACCCTGGCTGATGTTCACGAGGGCTATCATTCGACAACCAAAACTTTACTAAACTAACGGCGTCATCAGGAACACGAGTGAGTGACCAAGGCCTACATCTAAAGTAAATAAAAAAGGAACTATAAAATTCAGTCCCTTAGCCGTGTAATGTGTGTGTGTGTGTGTGTGTGTGTGTGTGTGTGTGTGTGTGTGTGTGTGTGTGTGTGTTTGTGTGTGTGTGTGTGTGTGTGTGTGTGTGTGTGTGTGTGTGTGTGTGTGTGTGTGTAAGGGGGGGGGGTGTATGGAGAGCTGCTCCATGGCAAGCGCTCAGTTTGAGGGCAGCAAAAACGTTTCTAGGACTGCCTCAAAGTCTCTCTAACTCTAAAGGAAGTTGGAATCCTGAACGACTCGTGGGAAACGCTGGTCCAAGATCATCCCGCGTAGCGCTGCAAACTGCAAGCTGACGAAGGGGGCCAAAGCAGCAGAAGCCAAGCGAATCGCCGAGGCCTAACAAAAACGCAACGTGCGCAAGTCTAGACCTGCCTCCACCACAAGTCCAACAGCAGACTACCCGTGCCCACAATACGGGCGAACCTTCCTAGCCCGGATAGGACTAATCAACCGTCTCCGGACCCACAGTCACCGTCAACAGACCAATTTGTGAAGTCGTGGTCATTTTCATATATATATATGTGAAGGACGAACAACAACAACATACGTATAGTGTGTGTGTGTGAGAGAGAGAGAGAGAGAGAGAGAGAGAGAGAGAGAGAGAGAGAGAGAGAGAGAGAGAGAGAGAGAGAGAGAGAGAGAGAGAGAGAGAGGTGGGGCTCAGAAAATTAGCAGTCAGCCTCTCGACAGTGTCTTTATCTTTGGTTTCATGTGTCTCTATCTCTCTCTTTGTCATCATGACTGTATTTTCAACTTTAGCTCTACTCATGTGTCTTTGTTCTCACGTGTCTTTGTTTTTAGCCTCATTGCAGTGTCTTTATTTTTGCCCTCATGTGTCATTGTTTTCGACCTTATTCGTGTCCTTACATTTACCCTCATATTAATAAGTGTCTGTTTTTTTACCTCATGGCAGTTTCTTCATCTTGGCTTTACGACAGGATCTCACTATTTCAGCCCCTGGAAGCAACTGTGTACACCCTGGTCTTAAGACACCGAATTACGCTATTTTGCTTTTCTGACAGTGACAGCATCCGTCATGTTGATGTGGCATATTCATTATTCTCATACCATTGCCTGCAGTTTAGCATTGTGTCTGCCGGCCTGTTTGCTCTCAACACATCTTCCGTTTCTTTGGTTTCAAACCAGCCTGACCAGCGACTTTGGAGTAGTAGTTAGGCACTTCGTTACCTATATATATAAATACGTATATATATTTATAAATATATTATATTGCACAAAAGAGACCCCAGTTCGATTCCTTTTTTGGGGGGGTGAAAATTTTTACCAAGTCTGCTGAGAAGTTGTTCCCCTCTCAGCCCAGGTTGCGCTGACGGGCAATGAGTGCCTCCTAATTAATCTAAATTGAGTCGATGGGGGCAAGAAAACACCTACATTAAAAAAAAAAATTGTTTAAAATGCCAGCCTGTGTCTATTAAGTTGAAGGTGATATCTGCCTACTTAGCCCATAGGACATTCCACGTCTAATATATTGAAACTCATGTCTGAATTATGTTCACTCTTACACAACACAGCTTCTGTCCGTTTGGTCTCAGCACAGCGTGTATGCACTTGGTTAAAAGACAGCTTATGACAGTTTAGCACAAACTCCAAGAAAGAGGAAAAATTTAAGGCATTACTTGGTCGTTTGTAAGGGAAATGTCCTTTCAAGCTGTTTATCTTCTTTGAATTACAAGGATAATCTTTTCTTAACATCTACATACATGTGTATTATCAATGATAGAAAATTTATATTTTTTGTAGGCATGGGGACCCTAAAAAATTAAAAGCCAAGAAGAGATAGTAGTTAAAGAAATGGATTAGATCTAAAAACCATTTTGAAATGCCTGCAAAGACATCTTTTCAAGCAGATAGTTGAACCACTTTTTTTAAAACAGCTTGCAGTGAGTGTGCATTCCATGAAAGCAAGACTAAGTTGTCATACAGTATCCTTAAATCATACATTCTCCCACTGGCGATTTCAAATGACTCTCCCTGATCTTAACTAAATTACATGGACTGGGAAAACAAAGAGTCAACAAAAAGGAAAAAAGAACTGAGAACACATGATGGTGCATACAATCACAGCTATAATGTACACAACTTAATGCAAAAGTAATGCAAATGTGATTCTGACACGGTAATAAAATAAATGAAAAACAAAACTGAACAAAAAAAGTTGATTAAAAAAAATTCTGCTTGATGAAGGCAGACATTTGTTGAGGCAATAATATTCTCTTTTTCTATCAATTATGAACAACATCAGAAATGCACACTGCTGACTTGTAAAAACTTGAAACCTATGGCTGGGGTTATGAACAGGTCTAGTAGCATCCACCCACAAGATTCAAAAGAATATTCAGAAACAAACAGCCCTAGCAAACTTCACAGACACATCTGTCTACATTGCAGCAAACACCCAGGTACACATCACATACACCAGCCAGCCTGACCAGCAGAATCGCACAACTTGTAAGGATTATGCGGCCAACTCAAGTTTTATTTTAAGTTTCTATAGAATCTCAAGTTTAGCATTTTTCAGCGGGCTTATTTATGTCATAAGACAGTACTTTAATTGGAAACATCTTTTCAACAAATCGAGTTGTATGTGACCAAAATGCTTGACTCTGGCAGCACCTTTAGAGCAGTGCAGCTGGAGAGAATTATGTAAATATAGCATGTTTATAAACCGCTGCTGCATAAAACATATAGGTGAAAAAAACTTGATCTTGTGCATCCAAAAAATGTTGTGCTAAGGGAACAAATGAGGTAAGTAACTACAGATTTATAACTAGGTCATTCACATTATATAGATCAAATCTTGATATCAAAGCTTGATATCAAATCTTCAAATTTTGAACTTAGAGCATATTTGGCTTTCACATCAGTCACAAAAGTCTTCATGTTCATAGACTCAATGAGATGCCCCCCTGTGTACATGCCTAGTGTCTATTTACCTGCCTTGTCAGAAGCTACATTTTTATTTTCCCAACCAGAATGTTCATATTGCAAGAAAGAAAAAAAAAAGAGAGAATGGAGGACATAAAATGAAACATTCATGGTTAACATTTAGCAAAATTATGAAAATGTTTCATTAAATATCTACAAAAAATGCAGGTCTATCTTGTCCTTTACTAGAACATTTAACTAGACAACCAAATGAGTAAAAAAAAAAATATGGTGAAGACCATAACTTTGAACTAAAAATGCTAAAAGGATACTGAAAGAAAATCTTTCTCTGAGATAAAACCTAGACTCAGCTGAAAAAGTTAGGTGCATGCTAACTCAACTTTGATCTGAACAAAAAGCTGTCTAAAGGACAATGTAAAAGAACTCATAAAACGTCCGTCCATGGAACACAACTAAGAACAATGTGTGAAAATTCGCAAAACAAATACAGGTCTGTAACCAGATCATGTAAAAATGCACAAAACAGAAATACATCTGTGACAACATCATATGCAGGCAGTGTCATGACTTTCAATAAAATAACAATAAATATCTTCAAGTTTAAAAACAAAACAATTGTTTTCTTTCTTTTTTTTAAAAGGCTGGGGACCACTAAGGGGCTGAGTGAGAATTGCTGTTCTAGGTAAAAAATGAACAACACAATGTCAACACAAGTAAAAACTGTTTACAACAAGGCAGCCTAAACAATGCTGAATTTGCTTGAGGCAAACAGAGCAATAAGCTTCATGGCAGTGATCAACATGAGAGTTACTCCGGGAGATTTCTAATAAATGCAAAGCACTCAACAAAGGGAAGAATCAGGAGTTTCATCCCATACTTGGCTGCAGTAGGCCTATGTGCCACAGAAAATGTCATCTGCTCAAACATGAAAGTGAAAACAAAAGCAAAGGACAACAAAGTTCACACAAACAAGCCTCACTCACAATGTTAACGGCAGACCACTTTCCCAAACTGTATCAATAATAACAACACGAGTACAACTTGCTGGGCTTTCTTATTTATATGAGAAGCCAAAATCGTAACGGCATTTGTATCTCTATTCCACCGCCTCTAAAAGATTCTCCACAGAAAACCCCAATATTATATTAAACCTATCTTTTAAAAAGACTAAAGATCCCACAATTCTTTTTCCAAAATCTTCTTCAGTAGCTTTTTCATGAACAAACAAAATTCTCAAATGTTTGAAAGTAATTTAGTTCTCTGAATCTCTGAAGTTCTATCCGAAAATTACTATCAGCAAAAGATATTATTCAGATGTGTAAAACCATAATTTAGAGCGAGTTTCACCAGACTTATGCTCCAGACCAAAAGAAAAGACAATTTTCTGCGCAGCATTATAATAGTCAATAACTTTAGGATTGCTGTTCATTTACATCCATCTTCATGAACCCACACTCTTGATAAACCCAAGAGAATGTGCTGTATTTGTGCGTTAGTCTTTATAAAGTTTTATTTAACTAAATCCAGAAAGTAAGTGGGAGGGGAAGAACTTGGGGAGAAGAGTTCCTTGCACCTCTTTCATTTGTTACTCAGAAATTAGTTTTTATTTCATCTTGATTTCGAACTAAAAAAAAATAAAATTAACAAAGGGCATCTTCAGAGTCTAACTTTTATTATCTTTGAACTATTATACTTATGATACTTAATGTTTGAAGAGCAAATGTTGAAAAATAGAGGAAAAGTGTATGGTGACAAAGTACATTTTACTTCTACTATTCACCTGTTTCACAAACTGTCAGAATACAGAATCCCAACTGTCCCATCTCTAATTTCCAAAATTAAAACCCTTCCTTAGGGAAAGATCAAGAGTAGGAGCATGAAGGAACAGTGCATAAGATTAAGTATTCATAAGAAGTATGGCCATTTAAAAAAGCTGTCCCTATCAATGGGAATAAAAATCAGGTCATGAAATGTCTGATGAAACTCTAAGACAAATTAATACAATTTCTTTAAAATCAACAGCAATTATGATACAAAATTTAGCATACAGTAACTCACATATATACTGGCATAAGTAGTTGCCAATTATGCTGGCAATTCTTTAGTACACTTTGGCTCCCTCAACATAATTTTCCTTTCTCTCATTTCTTCCTTTCCCTCTTCCTTATATCTATTTCTCTCTCATACACAGAAGTACACACTTACATATCTGCACACAAGTACACAGCGTTGAACCTTCCTTTTTATGTACAAATGTCCACACATTCCAACAGTGAAAACAAATCTGATGAAATGAGTGCAAAGACACAAAGTGACAAACATGTACTAGCACATATTATACATGATCCCACTTTAACTTCCAAAACATGATCAAAAGCTTTTTACCATTTATTTGCAAAACAATTTGACTTTCCTTTTTGAGGTATCCTGTTTCTAATGAGTGAAGCAACAGAGAAATAATTGCTGATTGCTGACGAGGAGAAAATTTATGTTTTCTGCTCTCAAGAGCCATCAACTCTATCCATAATGACACCAATGTGTAAACAAAAACAAAAAACCACCATGATCTTTACACAAAAACAATTCCAACTCAACGTTCTAAAATGTAATAACCAGCATCAACTTGTGATTATGCCCACAATAAGGTCCCACTCATCATATGACATGAACTGGTGATCATGAGTGTACATTTTTGATAAACAATGTCTAGAATCAGCAATAAACAGCACAGAGTGATTACCAAAAAATTGCTCTGAAATGAACTAAGTGTATAAAGATATAATACAAGACAGTTGTGTTGCCTGTATAGCGCCCTATTGTGAAATGTATACAGTTTCTACAAGGCATGTGTGTAGTTTCAATACATGTGGTAATTTTGAATTTGTATTTTGCTCTTTGAATAAAAAATGCTTGTTGACTCAAAGTTGAGGGGTCACTACTTAAGAAAGTACTTCTTATAATGTTTAATGGCTTGATCTTGTGATTTCATTGATACAAGTCACTATCCTATGAGATATAATGCATTCAATCTATTCAAGATTGTCACCACTTAGACTGACATCACCCCAAAAACAATAACAGCCCAATCTATGGTCAACAGACCTGAAATTTGGTGAAGAAGTACATTTAAGCCATAAAGAAATTCCTCTGAATGCATTCTGGTAGTTTCTTCACGGGGCAACGTAGAAAAGACGTAACCAGGAAGAAAATTTTTCAGACATTTATTTAACCCAATGGTTTGCATAGCACCCCTCAAAGTATTACTTACTGGAGCCATTTACATGATCGATTTTTCTGTTAAGGTTGACAATGCACACAAAATGAAATCGTACAAAATAGTCAACATCTGTTATGTCTTATATAGTCTGATATACGATTAAAGATTAATATGTTGTTCGAAATGTGTATGAAAATGAATTACAAGTTAGTGTACTGATGAAAAAAGTAGTATGAGATGGGAGACAGCTGACTAATGTGAGAGATAGCCCTGAAAGTCTTGAACACACGGCTTGTTGAAGTTGTCATCAGAGCAGTTCTGTCGGAGCACAATCCCAACGACATGCAGATTCAACAGTAACATGAACAATGTTAGCAAAACAAACCAAAGGGACTGGTGAAACATCATCCTGATACAAGACAGTCATAAATATTGTGCTGTGCCACCAATCACAAATGTTGAATGAAGGGAGGATGATAACGGCCTGTTCAAATAAATATTTCACATAACAAAGTATATATGCCACTTGGATCAAATACAAACAGTACTATTTATACACAAACTGATACAAAACATTAGTAGTATGTAACTTTTGCCCTTGTGATTGTTTTCAGGTCCAGTGATTCCTTCACTTGTTGCCTCTCTCTCCTCTCTGGCCCACACCGATGCGTGTCCAGTGTGCAAAAGTCTGTATGCACTACCTGAGCTAAACAAGCGCTAGCTTGTGGGTTTATCGAAAACAGGAGTTTTTGTGATTCCTCCAGCAGCGGTAATGTCACCAGACTGTCTAGGTTTTTCTCCCTGCAAAGTTTAGTCTCATCGCAGAGAAAGGTTTTAATCCAGATTTTGATGAGTTTGTATTTGCAGCAAACCTTTTCTGAAAGTTCCCATAGCGTTTTGTATACACTGATTCCATGAACCTTTAGTCATACAGAACACTGTAAAATTATGCCCACAGGTGGCCGATATGGTCTTTTCAAGTAGTCTTGCCACACACAAAACCCAGTACAAAGTTTTCTCACCTTTAGAAAGAACACTGCACTATATTTGGAAGAGCTCCTTATTCTACAGAGTTGTACAAAAGACTCATACAAACATTGTCACTACCCAAGGTAGACATAGTCTGTCACTAATGATTTTGAACAATCTCAAAAGACAGATGAGTCTCAAAAGTGCTTGATACAATAAGTATAAGACAACAGCTCAGTTCAGGCCCCAGCAAAGTCCACTGTTCGATATGACATTTCTTGCCTGAAGCCTCTTCCAAATAAAGACCAATCATCTGTGATTTCATTTTTTTCTCATTGTCCTCAGAGACCCAAAAACTTCACGTAAAATATTGTAAAGTTCAAAGTGTTGGATTTCAAGTCACCGATGTGAAGAGATTTTTGGATTTCTACAGATGCTGGAAATCACAAGGAACTGTACACAGGTAGACAGATCTATAAATATATACACTGTCTATATTTCCATACTCTTGAAGAAAATGTCGGATATTTATCGATGCTGCACCGAGATCTGTGCTTTCTGTGTCGTTCCATTACAACTTTACTGCACTGACATTCTAAATTGGCAGTCCTCAGACATGAGATAGGAAAGAAGTTGAAACGAAGTAATACTGATAATACTTACAAACTGCTACTCTCTTTTATGCAAGCAGTGTGTTTCAGAACAAAGAACAGTGCGATTCAGAATTAAGTAAAAGAAGCCCAAGAAATACTGAACAGAAAGCAGACAAACTTAGGAAAAAGAAAATTTCTGCTCTTATCATGAGAACCTGTGGTCTGGAGCTCAAGATATTCATAGAGGAAAGTGAAACACATCTTGTTCTGTCCCATTATCATAATTCGTGAAGAAATAAATGGGCAGCTGGAGAATAATTTCCTCATTCCAGTTCAGAGTTGAAACTGTCCTTCTCAGCATTCTGTCTGCGGGTGCTTATGTCAACGACTTCTGTCCTGAAGCCGGACGCACACATGACCCTAGTTTTATCCACTTTGAAATCATGTAGTTTGGAGAGACTGTCCTGAGACAAATGCACTCAGCACTCATTCCATTACCAGTAACACGAAACTGAATCTCCTCATGAATTTCCTGCAGCAACACTTGAGGGCAGCCCTAAGTCTGTGTGGTGGTGGGATTGTCCGTGTGTCAATGTGCTGGTCTGGGAGGTCACTCAATGACAGAGTTATCCCCGGAGCTCTGACCACAGCTTGGGGCACTGCTGGTGCTGCTGTGGCTCATCGAGGAATACTGGGAGTCGGACGTGCTCATTGGGCTTTCAAACGGTTCCAAGTGGAGATATGCCTGAAAGTGAAGTCAGCAAAATGTGCATAAAATTAGTACTTTTTAAATAAAAACAAATCAAATCTACATGTCATTATCATATGACCGCAAGGTCTTGAAAGCTACTTCCACATCTGCCAGTAGTCACTGAGACCCCTTAGGTTTCTCTTTGTTCATATCAATTCTGTCAACGTCCTTTGAATAAATAAAAATACAAGTGAAAATATCTGCTCTTGAGGTTTTTGATATAAAAATATTTCTTTTCATATTCAGAGACAACATATTTTAAAGCAATGATGAAAGAAAAAAAAGTACTTAAATGAATAAGTCTATTTTAGAGAATATCTAACTTTTAGTCACTTTTAAGAGAATGGCAAATGACTCATATATGTCACATCGATGTAAGTAGGAGTTCCCCCTGCACAATCTTACCTCATCATTTAATGATGACGTTAGCATGCTGTCCAGTTCTTGAACCAAGGTTTTGAAGCAAGAACGTTTGCCCGGATCTTCTTGCCAGCAGTTTTCCATTATGCCATACCTACAGAGTGCAATGTTGTATCAGATCATGAAGGAAATCTTTGCTATCAACATAATACTTTGGACAGAAATAATTCTATATTCAGGGAAAGAAATTTTATATACACAAACATAGTAATCTATTTCAAATGAATGACGACAGCATGTTTCCAAGACATAAAACAAGATTTTATCCTTGTTATCCACGAAGTTGAAACCATCAACTACATTCCTTACAAATTAAAAAATTAAAAAGATCTCAATGCATGTTGACGATCAGCAAGCAGGTGTGTAGAAAGGATAGTCATAAAATTGTGTTCACCCTTGACATTGATTTCCAATTTCCTTTTAACATTTTCTTGGAAAAGAAGCACATTTTAACTACAAATCTCTTTAAAATGAAGTATTTTTTTTATGTTTCCTATGATGTAATCTCCAGAGAAAAAGTTACTTTCTCCAGCTTTCAAATCTTTATATTTTGCTAAGACCAACAATTTCTAGTGGTACAACAAAGCTGACTCACATTTTTGTGGAGGCATAGGGTGGCCTCTTCATCCGATGTCCTTCCTTGAGAAGACCAAAGAGTGCTTCCACTGGCACAGAAGGGTAAGGGTTGCCTCCCAAAGTGAAGATCTCCCATAAGAGAACTCCATATGACCAGCTGTAGGGGAAAACAGTGTTGTCAATACACCAGAAGAGAAAATACTTATTTCTGTTTCGTTTGTCTGTTTGTTTGAATAAAGAGAAACATATTGGCATAATAATGGTCATTTACTGCGGGGAAAAAGTAAGATAGACAGACAAAATCAAAAGAAGGTATATTAAGAAGTAGGACCTACCAATGACACCCTTCAACCACCCACACTTATTTCTAATCTTTGAATTAATGCCACAAACTACAATAAACATCAATTTACTGCAAAGGCCAAATCAGAAATGCACCTCCTCAACAGCAATGTCTTACCTCAAGAGAAAGTAAGAAAATAGGAATGGAGGTGGGAGAGAACAAAAGAAGAAAAGATCAAGTCCAACTCAATACAAATTATACAAACTATCTTAGTCACAAACCTTATTCCATACATATTATTTTCCACAAAATAGATTCAGTGGTTACACAGTTATAATTTCACAGACAAATCACTTACACGTCACTCTTGGATGTATACTTTCGGTCAAATAACGCCTCTGGTGCCATCCATTTCACTGGTAATCGTCCCTAATGAAAACAAAATATATAAAATGTGTTTAAAAAAAATTATAACAAATGTAAACATTCAAATAAAAAAACAGATTTCTTGCAATAGTGCATCATCATCATCATCATCATCATCATCATCATCATCATTGCCTTTCTCACCCTACACCAGGGTATAGGCCAGGGACAAACACTTTCCACTTTTCTCTATCCTGGGCTAGCCTCTTGATGTTATTCCATAGAGCAAGGAGTGAAAAATGTGTTAGCTGCACATTTGGGAATAAGGAAAACATTATGAGTTCAACAAGTCAAACATGTTGTTACGGTATTTAAGTTCACAAATATTTACACATTTTGTTCACAAACAACACTTCGTTCTACATGGCCTAATTACAAAGGCAGCTTTCCTTCTAATCACTTACATCAGTGGTTTTTCTGTAATAATCAAATTGCTGAAGATTCCTCGTCAAACCGAAGTCAGCCAATTTGAGGACATAGTCCTCTGCCACCAAGACATTTCTTGCAGCCAGATCTCGGTGGATGCACTGTGAAAAAGAGATTGTGACATTCAGCACATAATAAAAAAAACAGAACGACAGCTTTTGCCTCACCAGCCAAATCAATCAATTTTATAATTTTATAAAAAAACGAGAAGACTGAGGCAACTTTTTCAAGAAAAGTTCAGTAAAACCAAGGTCTAACTGTAGAGACAAGTACACAGCATTAAAAAAACCCACTTGTATGCTAATTCAAGGGGTGAGAATTGTAAAAGATTCACAATCTCATCACGGGTCAATAAAATTCCCATTTATCTACCAGCTAAGTAGGCCTACCGGCAGTTTATTTAGGCCCAATCAACACAATTTAGATAATTAAGGAGGCTGGTTACTTTGCCTGGTTCGTCAGGGTCAACCTAGGCTGAGAGGACTCTCTGTAACAACCAAATTGCTGAAGATTCCTTGCCAAGATGAAGTTAGCCTGACCACTCCTCCACAGACTCTGATGCCAACAAGTGGCAGCCCTGACACAAAGTGACCACTCCTCCACAGACTCCGATGCCAACAAGTGGCAGCTCTGACACAAAGTGACCACTCCTCCACAGACTCCGATGCCAACAAGTGGCAGCTCTGACACAAAGTGACCACTCCTCCACAGACTCCGATGCCAACAAGTGGCAGCCCTGACACAAAGTGACCACCGTGAAAACACTGCAGAGAAAAGAGTTACCTTCTTGGATGCCAGATACTCCATGCCCCTGGCTACTTGAAAGGCGAAAGATATCAAGTCTTTCTGGGTCAGGGCCTTGAGCTCTCCATCACCAGACAATATGGGCTGCTCGTACTCCGTTGAAGATGGCGGGCAACTGGGATTGGGAGGTCGGTGCTTTTTCAGAAAATCTCGGAGATTTCCATGAGGGGCAAACTCCACAATAACATAGAGGGGTCCTGGGGAAGATTTAAAAATAAAGGACATTAAAGTCAATGAGCTGCATTCACTTGAAGGTCTTATCATTCACAGGATGAGGATCTAAAATTTCAATGTCATAGAATTCTCAATGCCCTTCAAGCAATTAAAATTTTAAAGAAAAAGGGAATAAATTTAAAAAACAACAACAATTAAACATTTGACTGTCAAACTTTCATTATGAGGTTTGGCAATGACAAACATTCAGGAAAAGAGGGGATTTAGCATAGGCAAAAATATATAAGACAAGAAAGGAGAAAACAATTATAAAATGAGTGGTTGCACCCCAGCTCACAAGCATACATTGCAGGGAAGATAACTGGAGCAGACAGCTAAAACAAATCCTCACCAAACTGTTCCCAGTAAAATTATACACAAGAACAAATACCTCATTCTTTAGTTCTTAGAAAACTAGAACTAGAACGATAATTCTTTAGCTGAAAAATGATAAAAGGGACAGATGTTTCTACGCAAAGGAAGATAACTCCTTAATCATTCCGCCTTCACATATCTGTTTATTACGCCCCTTCGTTTAGAATAAAAACGACAATTCGGTTTACTCACCTCGTTGGGTGCAGCAGCCTAAGAGATTGATGATATTTTTGTTTTTGCCGATGAGTTTCATCGTCTCCATTTCACGGATGAGGTCCATCATTTCTCTGTCTGTGGCGTCCTTCTTGAGCATTTTGACAGCCACGGTCACCGAACTCGTGCTGTTGCTCAAGATGCCAGTAGCCTCACCCTTGACCACTAGACCAAAGGCACCCTCACCCAAGCGTGTGCCCAGTGTTAGTCTGTAGACAAATGGAAACCACAATGTCTGACAACGGAATTGAGCAAACAAAGAACAACAAAATGATACAAAAATAATGCCAGAAGTAACTATAATTATAATAAATGTTCTGGCTGAGCTAAAAGTAGGAACACTGTACAAAAACAAGCAAAACCAACTGTATAAAACTTTTTTGAAAATTGGTAACAGTAAAACCATTAATAAAAACAACAGTGATAAAATATGTATAACAGAGGAGAAAAAAAAATTGTGGTTGAGCTAACCACACTTTGTTTCGACATTTGAAGTTTACAGTCTCTAGATTTCAATTAAAAAGAAGACACTTTGTTTGATGATAACTTCTATGAAAAAAAACCTCATAGAACTTTCAAGACAATGCACACATGATGTATAGATCTAATATGGAATTCTTTTGTGAAACGAACAAAGTCGTCTTATTTACCTTTCCCTGGGAAACTCCCACTTGGCGTCCAGAGGCATGTTGTACTCGGAGAGCTCCGTGGTGTCGGAGGAAAGTCGCCTCCGCCTACCCCCACGGCTGCCACTGGAGTAAGGCTCCTCCACCATACGCACGTGAGGCACCATCAGAGGCGCTATGGCATCTGGGTCTTTACTGTGATAGTACAAATCGTTCTGGAAGAAAGCAAATGAGAATAACAATATAGACAAGTGGTCAAAAGTCTAAAAAATCATAGCTCTATGCAAGGCAGAATGCATACCAGATAAAGTGTATGAATACGCGTTTATTTACAAACCCCCAGCAAGTTCATCTAATCTATAATTAACCTGTGTATTTAATGACAATGACAATGACAATCTTTATTCATCTCGAAGGGAGAAATTTGTCTTGGTCGTTAATAAAGGCAGTAGACGTTACAAAAGTTAGACCTAAAGGTGCACTCACGCAAACGCACAACAAGACAGGACATTAGGCCTAGTAAATACATGTCTCACGTACTGGGACAACTCACTCCGTAAAACATTCTCTCTCTCTCCCTCCCTCTGTTTCATTCGTAGTACTGTGTGTTCAGTAACCTCACTGCAGTTGGTACAAATTAATTTATTGCATAGATGGAACATTTATTTCCACTCAGTTTTGGTGTTTACCTTATACAAACAGGTTAATTAGGATTGGAATTATTCGGAAGTTTGTGATTTTTTTTAAAATGGGTGACATAACTGGCTGCGTAGAAACGTGGAATAGCGTCTCGTCTACAAAGACAGTAGAACTAAGAGGGTGCACCATTTACTCACAGGTTTCATAATGATGATCCTCTTGGTGTGTCTCTGCACCATGCTGTGTTTGCGCTTATAGTGCCTGTACACGCAGAAGAGCACTCCGACCACCAACAGCATCAGCAAGATGGCCGTGCTCACCACGATCACAATGGGCACCAAAGTGCTCTTTTCCTGAGACACGCTCGCTGCCGTTGAACCAACCCTTTTGTCATCTGTGGGGAAAGACACAGCAACGGTAAAATACGCTGTAGTTTCAAAACGCGTTTCATTTTACAACAGGCTTGATAATGATCCCATTTTATAAGGTCGTAGTTAAAGAAACGAGTAACATGAATATTAATAATGATGACAATAACAATTTTATTATTGTTGTAACTATTATTATGATTATAAGTAATATTGTAACAATATGAAAACATCAATAACATCATCATCATCATCATCCCCCTTGTCATCATCAGTAGTAACAGCAGCAGCAATAATGGTAGTAATAATAATAATGATAATAATAATACTAATACCATTTAAAATCAGTCCCAGTGCAATTAAACGAAAAAGGAAGCTTTTCAGTTCCAACAATAACAAGGTCAGTGACTTGTGGGGAAAAAAAAAAGAAAGAAAAAAAAAGAAAAAAGAAAGAAAGAAAGAAAGAAAGAAAGAAAGAAAGAAAGAAAGAAATATAAAGTAAAAGAAAGAACTTTTGAGACTTTTACATCATAGATGAGGGACGTGAAGATGGAAAGGGATCACTTATTGTAAGTCAAGTAACAAAAAGGACAGCGCTTAAAGACAGAGAAATAATTCTTCTAAATGCCACAATAAAGCAACTGGTCCAGATCAACATAATCTTCTAGTTGTGGGAAGAGAAACAAACTGCTTACATCTAGTAAGAGCTTTACAGCACTTGCAACACTTAAGTGTCAAAGATTAGAGGTGTTACTAAAGAGTAACATACAAAGAAAAGAAGGCAGAGAGACAAGGACGATAGATGTTTAATATGATGAAAGGAAAGAAGGAGCAAACCACACCAGAACACCCGTCAACCACCCACAAAACAAAATATGCTCAAAATACACAGCTAGAGCATAAAAAGGGAGCATACCATCATCTATCACCACGAGATAGGCTGATCTCGCTGCAGGGCCGATAGCATTCTGCACCAGACAAGTATATTTAGCCTCATCTTCTTTGGTGACATTGTACATAATAAGTTCCTCAGGATTGCTGTCATCAATTGTGCCCATCTGTGGATGAATCAACACGTCTTAGGGGATCACATAATAGGTGTGACAACTTCCTTCCCTACTGGGTGAAGGCATGAAAAATGAAAGAACCCCCCCCAAAAAAAAAAACCCACACAAAAAACAACAAACAAAAATAAACCAACCTAAAACACCCTATAAATCAACAATTCTAGTTTAATCTTCTTTTTTTTTAAATCATAATGAAATACAATCAGTAGATCCAGTGTACAAATGTGTGCTGTCTTAGGCACCAAAGCTAGGAGACTCGATGCTTATTCCTTGCCCACATCCAGCAGTCCGATCAGCCCGGGCACAAGTGAGCGGGGACATTCCGCTATGTATCATGATCGTCTTATCTCATTGGTTAACTGATCTTAACTGATTAAATGCCATCAGTAGGCTATGTTCAGTTCAATCTGAGTTTTAAAAAACGTTTAATAGATCAAAGGTCAAAGCTTGAAAAGACAACCAAAGAATACAAGTATGGAGCAAAAAGTAAAATAGCGACCCCTCACACTCTCCAACCTTCACGCCCCTCCTCGAAAAAGAAACCAACAACAACCCCAAACTCCAAAACAACAAATTCAACGAAAAAGCTCCAATAAAACCGAAGATACAGTTTTAAACAAGAATACAGATTTATGATACATTTTCATATTTTTTGGTCATTTTATACATACTATTTTGCTTCATGGAGGATAATGAATATGAGCAAGTTTAAGAAGTTTATGAATTTATTGAGAGAGAGAGAGAGAGAGAGAGAGAGAGAGAGAGAGAGAGAGAGAGAGAGAGAGAGAGAGAGAGAGAGAGAGAGAGAGACAGAGAGACAGAGAGACATAGAGACAGAGAGACAGAGAGAGAGAGAGAGAGAGAGAGAGAGAGAGAGAGAGAGAGAGAGAGAGAGAGAGAGAGAGAGAGACAGAGACAGAGACAGAGACAGAGACAGACAGAGACAGAGAGAAATAGCAGCACATAATGACAGAGAAGAACATCTGCAACTTAAACTCGGCAAGTTAAGACCAAGTACAAGATGGTAAAATCATGTATGATACTTTTTATCCACAGGTTGTAGCAAAAATTCTTTTAACTTGAAGCTCTATTTTTACCCCCCGTCCGAGTAAACGGCCCACCCTTTTCTCTGCCCGGGGTGGGTAAGGGAAACAATTAGAAACGGGAGGGGGGAGGTGGAGGTGTCAATATCAAAGAGAAGAGAAAAAAAGACGATGTCTCTCGGAACCGAAAGGGGAGGGGGTGTGGAAGAGAAAAGTGTGAGCAAATTTTGATAGGAGAAAAGGTGAAAAAAGGAGGGGGCGGAAAGGAAGAGAAGACGAAATGAAGAATAAACGTCGACTTGTCAGATCACATACAAGTCTTACCAGAAGAATTGTTGGTCAATTCGAAAATACAAAAAGGGCAGCAAGAAGAAAACTGCCTTTTAATTTTTAATTATTTTTTTCCCCCATTTCAAATCTTTATCTTTTTACAGTCAATAATTTTAGTTGTTTTTTCCCCCCTTGACATGCGTGAGGGAAGTAGACTGTTTACAACAACCAGTCAATCCACAGTGTTGTCTACACCTACATGCACTAACACATCGACAGACAAGACCGTGGTCAGTACAGAGGTATTGCGGACATAGTCAGGCAACCTGTAAGACGAGATATTAATCATAGCTTGGCATATTCCAGCAGCTGAAAATAAACCCTGCAGCGAGTGGAGCAAATTCCTGGCAATGACCAAAAAAACAACAAAAGAAAAGAAAGATGGAGGAACCTGTCTCAACCGACAGTGCGGGCAACGCAAATCAACTGAAAAAAGGATAAGTAAGTAACGACAAGGTGAACTGTGTGGACAAGCAAGGAGACAAGTTGTGAAGTTAGCACAACATCAAATTGGTAACGAATACCAGGGCATGGCAAATTCATGTGCATGTCTTACTACAGCCAACATTGGGGAGGTCATCCGTACACTTTTGTCATGGATCTAACATTCAAGCAATAATAGGCCTATATCTTTTTTGTTTCTCGTACAAACTGCCAGACATTCATTTAATGTGGTTAGCGACAAAGCATACAATCTTTCAGCTATTCAAAATGTCACCTAACTCTGCCGAGATTTCACACTTAAAGTTCTTTTCTTTTTTTCTTTCAGGTTAAATACATGTATTCATGTGAGACGATTATTTGCAATCCTTTCAGTTAAGAGAAAGAAGTAATGATAAGCGTATCTTAGAACATGCCGATTCGTACAGTTAAAGTCGGGATTAACGAGTAGAACATTCCTGCGTTACTGAGCATTAATGATGGCACTGAGTGGTATCAACAGTTCTGTAGTAGCGTCGTAAGTGCATGCTTGCTGTGGGGCAATCAACAACAACAACAACAACAACAACAACATTCAACGGAACACAAAGGCATGTCTGGTGGAGAACAAAGAACCGTTCGTTACCTGCCGACCCTGTGATTAAAATGAGATCGAAATGAGTCAAATTAAGTGAGTAAAAACGTGAACTAGATCAACAGAAAAGAGAACATAAATGTGCTCAACAGAACAATCGCTATATTCCAAGAAAAAGGCAATTTATGAAAAGGGCCTTGAACCTTCGTTTCACATATTAGCAGTGTATTTTAGGTTTGTGCAATGGGCACTAGTATACCAAGACTCCTCTCTGTTAAACCCATATTATTATTGAAGGAAAGAAATCGAAACAATTGATAGACTAGAGTATGTCATCTACTAGTATGACAGAACTGTGTTTCCAAAACTCGGGGTTTGTAACCAGGATTTCACATTCGAACTAGTAACGTCTGCGTTAGGTCAACCTGAGAACATTCAGTTATCCTGATAAAAATCAAATCAAAGAAGAAAATCCCAAAACTAAAGAGGTTCCTATTTGAAGAAAACCAATACCACCGTACCACATTGTTCCCGAACCAGCTATGCAACCATAATTACGATTCAACTTTAGTTAAATGAATGACTGATTTAAACACACAGGTGATCGCTGGGAGGCTTTTGGGCATTTACATTTAATCAAAAGCCATTTCCCAAGGACTGGACGGTGAACTCTTGTGAAACAGTATGTGAGGTGTGATTACCGTTGTGCAGGGAAATTGGGAACTTCTCTAACTGTCTAACACTTCAATACATTTATCATGAATTTTTTTTCTTAAAATAGTGAACTCAGCTAATTAATCAAACAATAGCATCATGCAAAAACATGAATTTATTGATATGATAAGTGGAAACTATGGGCAATTCTAATGCTTGTTTTAAAAAACTCAAACAAACTGATATTCTTGTGCAGCTAACATAAACAAGTAGAAAACATACCCCCTTCTTCACTCCCAAATACCCATCCGTAGAAAAAGAACGTTGATAATTTGTATCTCTACTTTCTACGTGACGGATGAACTAAAAGAGTTTTTCATGTTTTAAGTAGCTTTTCACTCCAAACAGAGTGAAAAATGTGATTTTAGTGGAAGTATCATTAATATCAACTCGTAAACACATTATAAAAAGTAAATCAAAAAGAAAAAAACCCCGATCACATCAGCCCAAATCAAGGAACCGTAAACTAATCACGAACACTCTAAAACTGTACATACATATACAATCTGCACCCCCCCCCCCTTTCGTTTGCTACATCGTGCCATCGTGCACAAAAGACGACTGGTCTCTGAAACAGGATGGCCTTGCCGTGAGGATCCAAAAACTCTGCCAGTTTTAATATCTTACATCTCAAAATGGACTGATGACTTTTAATAGCGACTGCTATAAGCATACAGTCAATTCTTTCTAACGTGAAGTAAAAATACAAACTTAAAATAATATCCAGCTACATATACATTTATTTGTATTTCGAACTCATAAGTGGCAAGGCATAATAAAATAAAATAATATCGGCATGCATTAAATTAATTCTGCTGAAAAAGGCTAACAAACGAGACACGGAACTAGAACAGTAATTGAAACAAGTGAAGAAATTAAATGATCAACTCTAAAGTTATAAATGTTGTAGGAACTAATAGAGAG